AGTACAAAGATAGTACAATAGGTTTGGATGAGAGGAAAACAGAAATCCTGTGAGTAGGTCGTCTGTCCTGCATATGGACCCGTTCAGGCTTGTCCACATCCATTGCGGTAGCACATCAGAGCTGCAATGTTAGATTTTATCCCTTTTTCCTGCTGTTTTTTCTGAGCTGCAGCATGTGGTGATGCTGGGAGAGCCCGAGCCGCTCTCATAGCCCAGTGACACTCAACTTCTTCACGCTTAGGCAGGAAAAGATTGATGTAACACACTCTGTGAATGATAAAAACTCCCTGCGTGCCATGGCTGGGGGATGCTCCAGCACCCAGAGCTGCCTGCCCAGGCTGTCATGAGATGGGGAGCACTGATTTGGATTTGTATGCCATAAACACGGGCTGTTTTCCACCAAACACTGCAGTTCTTCCTCCCTTGTAGTTTGTCAAGGCCATTTCCTGCACCCAGCACCACACACACACACACAAGGACCTGTTTTTAACATAAAGGTTGTCAGAACAAAAGAAATTACCATGACCAGGGACTTCCAGAAGATGTTGACTCACAATAGGAAGATGGGGACTCACACAAACATGCTACAGAGCCCATGAGGATGTTCTCTGCCTTCTGGAGACTTGTTCCCCCAGGGGTCAGCCAATTTCTGTAGTGTGCTTTTACTGTAGGCCAATAACTGCTACCAAAAACCTGTCCCTGACCTGATAAATGAGGTCCTCCCAGTGTCTCCTTGATGTCAAAAATAAGATGTTTGGTCCAACTTCACACAAACCTGGCATTTGGGACCGGGAAGTTGTTGGCTCTAGATCCATCCAGCTTTGTGTTTGCCAAGCCTAGCCTGGAGCCCTGGCACTGGCATCTTCTTGGACCAGGTAGAGGCCAGCCAGAAATGCTGGAAGGGGCATGACTTCAGCCACTATGCTCACAGCCCTCCTTTCCAGTCCCCCACCATGAAACCTAATGGCCACGTCACCATTAAAATCATGGCTCAGGATCAAATTGACTTACTGCTCACCAACCGTAGCAATCACATCCGTTTCATCATGGGGTGCCAGCTCAAAGTGGAGAGCAGCAGCAGCACGGAAAACACCCAGTGGAGATAAGCTTGGGGCTGCTGCATGGGGCTGGTCGCCAGCTTTCAGGTAGAAAAATCACCGTTTCATTCAAAAGCAAATTTCCTGCCTGTGTGAATCTTAATGAAATTCCCTTCCAGGAAAGCATTTAGATAAGATTGAAATGCTGTCGCTGAAGGGTAAGAACAGCAAGTCTCACAAATTCATTTTGAAACACTATTTCTTTTCAAAACATTTATATTAAATGTCAATAACACACACAAAGCTTCTGATTTTATCTAAACATTTGACTCAACCTGAAACAAGCATCTGGGGAGAGGAATGCCAAAAAACTTTGGTGTTCATTGCAACTTACCACCTCTGACCCTTCCCTGGGGGTGGAAATGCTGTTCTAGCCACCCAGTGCAACCATCCCAGCCTAATGCTGTGCATCCCCATCCTTCACTGGATGCAGACACGACTGGTCAGCTCTGAAACGCAGGTCACACATTACACCAGCTCATGCTTGGTTTGAAGGTGTAGCCTCAGAGCGAAGGATTCAAGTTGTCTATCCTGATGCAGACACAAAACCAAATGTTGACAACCCTCATAGCAATAGTCTCCCTGTGGTCACAGATGCACTGCTAATGAAGACATTTGGGGCAGCTATTCAGAAAGGCGGCAACAACCCAAGGTCCATATGCAGAAGCATAAAGCATTAGCACCTGCTCCTCCATCCCCAGAATTCAGACTTCTTCTCAAGACCCACTACTGCTCCTGATAGACTTCTGCTTTTCACTTTGCAGGGACTCTCTTTGTAGTTGAAAGACCCAGAGACAAGTCACCAACTTAGGTGGACAGAAAGTAAAGTGAAGCTCTTCAGTATAAAAAGATTCAGCTCAGGAGCCTGCTGTCCAAAATACAGACAGTGTTGTAATACTTTTGGCAACCCCTCTCTTAGTGATATCACTTCCTTGTGTTTCAGTATCTTCTATCTGTGGGAAATACTGAAATTAAGTTATTAAGACCTGCAGGAAGCAGTTACATCAGCACTTCAGAACTTTTCCTTCACCAAGGTGGTTAACAGTCACTTTATGATGAAAATAAAGCTCCTTATTTCAAGCTCACAATGCCTATCTCCCTGTACATCAAGTCCTTGTAACACTAAGCTCATCTCATTTGAAGGCACTTGATGGATGGCAGTGGGGTTATACACTGAACCTGCAGTACTTTGAAGGAGATGGCTTTCTTCCTACAGCTGATGAACTGGACTTAGGGAACTACTTCTACCAAGTGTGATCAATGTGAGCCTGCTTTGGCTCTCACCTAGAGATTCCTGGGCTGGTGAAGAGCGATGATGAACAGCACCCAGCACAGCAAAAGCTATGTTGGGGCATCACTGTTGTACAAAAAGAAGTGTGAATGCCTGGCCAGCTGCTTTGGCATTTACTTCATTTGTGAGACATGTAATCCGAAAGGGACAAACCTTTTCAGGAGGCACCAAGCAGGCAATCAATGGTCACTCATTGCTGCCCTGTACTGGTCAGAGAGAAGCCAAATTCCACAAGAAAGGAGTTTTTTCCTTTGTTCACCCAAATGACATTGTCAAAGCCAGAAGGTGAAAGGAAGTTTCACACTGACACTATAGAGGACAACCACAAGCCTCTGCATGACGTGTTTCTACAAGGGCCAGAGGAACAGCATGAGGTAATGAGAAACTATAGATGGAAGAGTCTGTGAGTAACCAGGTAACACGAGCAGAGCTATCAAATACTTGTGCCTTCTGCCACCAGCTCCCAAGTGTTCTCTAAGTAAAAGCCAAGCCTTATGTTAAAATACGTTCTTCTATTACAGTTTCTTCCCCCTCACAAAATTGCAAGTAAAGAGACCACTTAGTCACACAAGATCATTTATCAGTAAAGAAAATACAAATTTACTTTTATTATAACCATAAAGAGGCGTTACTTTAACAATTAGCTGTACATTCAGCACTCAGGTATACATCTGTGCCAAAAATGTCAACTCTCTTACTGCTAAAAAAAGAACACTTCTCCTCAGCAATGCACTGCCTGTGCTTACAGGATGTTTATTGTCTCTGTATTACAGTTATCTTGACAGACAAGCCTCAGGATACAGAATATAGCTTTTACTCTTGGACCAAAATAGGAGGCAACATTTTTATTTAAAAAAAATTAAAAACAGCAAGTTTCTAGTCAGATAATATAAAGCATCTTAAATTAATCTTTTGAAAGTATTTACACTATTTGTAAACGTAAATATCTGAAACTGTACATGTTTAAACAAATGTTCATTTAGCAAACAGGCTGTATAAACTGATTGCTCTTCTAATCTTTCAACCAGCTGTCCTAGAGCTGTCTGGGTATTCTAAAAAAGACCCCAAGCACAAGAGTGACTACTGCAATGAGTTACCCTTCATGTCCTACCTGTACAATGTGTGTATTAAGTCAGTCATAACTCTGTACAGTGACCATGCAGTCCTTCTGTAAAACTTTATAAAAACCAAATATACATATATTACAATGCACTGGACATTATTTTACAGCCTGTATTTCTACAAGTAAAAAAGAAAGGACAAGTTATCTTCCTTGTTAGTTCCTTTAGTAATTTTTATGGAGTCATGTAAGGTTCTATCAGTACCATTTATGTACCTCACAGCGCCACTGCCGCAACACATCTCATGGTAGGTTTAAATCCTACATTAGTGTCCAGCAATGCGATTTATAACAGGAACATCCCTAAATCAAACCACCACCAATGTGCATGGAAATTTCAACATATTTAAAAGTACAGAACAGGTTTTATAAATAAGTTAAAAGTCTGCCATTTAAGTCACCACATTTTTCTTTTGCAGTGCAGCACAATGAAGACTTACACACCAAGACACCCAAAAGCTGCTTGAAGTGTTTCACTCCATTAATGGCCATGTGTTCAGTAATAACCAACTGATGCACACTGAAAAGCGTGCATTGTTTCCCAATTACCAAGTCCTTAACCCTCTGTTCACAATGCTGATTTGACAGGCTTGCACATTCAATTTCTGTCATCCCCAAACCCTCTTATTAACACTTCCTCCAGCACACAAAGGCTGTGGAAGTTCCAGTTTCAGTTCCCACTTTAAACTATGTGACACCACCACTTGATCTTGGGTGAGGAAAAAGCCCACAACACAACTCTAACCTGAGAACCTCCATGTTAAGCTTTGCTGTAAAGCATCTGAAAACATGCAGCTCCCTCAGAACTAACAGAAGGTACATTGCACAGCTTTTCACTGTAAATCCCAAGGATCTAAGATTCCTTCCATGATGAAGGTTAGAGCATGAAACTTCAGGTCAGACCTCACAGCTCCCAATCAGTGTAAGAAAAAGAGCACATCCAGCATTTCAAGAAATGCTTCACATGTGGGAAATAAAAGTTTTCCCAACTAAGAACCTGTGAATTATGTTCAAGCATGTGGTGGATTACCAGGATTTTCATGGGAGTTAAAGAAAATCAGAGCATGCTTGCTTAAGTCAAATTGTCATACCAATGTGCTTATATCCAAGCATTGCAAATAGCTATTACTGCTCCCACTTGACTCTCTTCACTTTATTTCCAGTGTCTTTGAAAGTGCAACTTTTCACTGCATATGTCAGATTATTAAAGAAAAAAAAGGAAAGGCTTTTACATTTTTAAAAAAATGGGATTTCTACTTTGAAAACACCTGGATACGGCAGTAACTCAGCTTTCATAAGAGTGATCAGCAAAGGGCGTTTGGTTTTGTTTTCTCTCCCCAATGTCTAAAGCCAGTGAACTGGAAAACCTTTATCAAATCAATAAAACTGTTTTGTTTTGTTGTTTTTTTTCCCCCTAAAACAAGGTTAAGCAGCCTGGTAGTGCTGATGCAGACTAAGTGCACAGTGGGATCCTTCGTTTACTTCAAGCAAATGTCTTTGCATCTCCTTCACTGGCTGGCATTCAGCTAAAGCTTTTTTCAAGCAGCCTCACTGCTGGGCTACTTGGACATCGATAAGAGTAAGTTCACCTGAAAGACAAAAGGAAAGCATGTATTAGACACAGCAGCTAAGTTTCAGAATTGATGTCTTATGTTTTAACCTTTAAACAGGATTCCTAGGAAGCACATAGGGTCTTGGACGTATCACGAGAAGACAGCTACAAAACAACTGGCCCAAACTGCCAAATACCTGCTCAGAGGCTTTTTAAAACACAATTGTTGACCACACTGACTGGTTATTTCAGTAGTCACAACCTAATGTGTCAAAGTTTCTAAGATGACTTCATGCCTTGTCAAGCAATTCCAAAAAACATGCACACTGGCAATGTAGTCTAATCCATAAACTAGAATTTCTGTTTAAATACTGGCATCCTGGGATAATCACAATTCTATTCACATTCCCTGGACCACTAAGGTCGAAGCAAGATTTTTTAAAACCTACCTGGCTTTTGTCAGAGCATCCTACTACAGAGATTTCTTAACCCAAATCATCTCCGAGACTAAAGAGCTTATCATGTAGGGTTACATTTCCATAAACATCTGCACATTTTCCCAATGCAATTTACTTCAAATAAACCCTTATAATTCTTCCTCATGCTTCCCAAATGTAAAAGTTGCTGCTTTTTGTATTTGTCAAAAGCCAGGCTGCCTTCACACCCACAGGCTGTTTTAAAGCCTATTCACTAGCTTTCCTATCTCTCCGAAAAGACAATGCCCAGAAATGGCAAGACTCGTTGTACAACTCAATCCCCAGCAACATCAATCACCACCTTCAGTTTAAAACCTCAACTGGATATTCATTAAAATAGCCCAAACAAAACCTCCTTTTAGTTGAAAGCCTAGAGTTAAGATAAAGCCCTGCGTTTAATCATCCAGGATTAAGCAGAACAATAAAGATTCTGAACACGGAAAATACTAAAAATGATAAAATGAATGTTTAAAAAAGTCAGAGCCAGCCACATGAAAGAGCAACTGATGAAACAGTGAGTTTCAATATATACCTGTTCCATTGAAGGACAAGCTATGATCTGGAGATCTTCATTACTGAATTCTTCCCTTAACAAAGCATGGAGTTTCTGGAACATTTGCTGAATGTTACTCTTTTCAAGGAAAGAAGAAAAAACTCAATATTAAAAAACACAACACACATCTCAAACATGAACCAGAATAAGCACAGTGTACATGGAATAGCTACTGAAGTGGATCAGGTAGGGTGAAGTGATCAAGCTTTAAGAGCTTTTCTTCTAAAGCAAGCCCCAAAACAGCTACAATGAATTCATGCTGGCTGCAAGATAAAAACTTCAGCTACGACATGCTAAGCTGGAAAACCTGAGCCCTACAACTTAACCTGGCAACTTAAAATTCAAGCTTTGTTCTTTCAATGGGTTTACAGTAATGAATCAGCATCATTCTCTCCGCCTCCAGTGCTTCCACCTATGCGTAACTGACCAAGCTATACTGGTTTTGGCTGGGACAGAGTTAATTTTCTTTATAGTAGTTCTTATGGTACCACATGGAAGATGCACAGAATGAAAAGAACTAGTTAGTCGCCTGTAACATGAGTTATGCACGCTGTGTACAGTGGAGAGGAGGATAAACTTTGTTTTGTTTGGGTTTTTTTAAGGTAAACATATAATTAAAAAAATTGGTTTTTTCTCATGTGTCTTTTCAACAGGCTTCTCAGATCAGGGACACCACAGTGATTGTAACAGTTGTTCACTACTACAGGTGCATGCTATTTATCACTGGCTGGACTGGTAGCCTAGAATAATTCTACAGATATGTGTGCCTGCATATATATATACTTATATGCATACATGCATTTATATAGATATGGTATATATATAGATATATAACCACACATACACAGAAATACAAGGTGAATGATCCCACAAAATGTGTTCAAAGTCTTTAACTAAATGAGGGCCCATCACCTACAGGAAATCATGCTGAGGTACATCTAGCAATACTCACTTTAACCGGCTTAAACAAAATCAATTCTGTATCTTTATTGGACAAGTATAATGACATGCTTCGTAATGTTGATGGCAGCTTTGTTTTTATTGTCTTGTAAGTGGAAGAGACTACATCGTTGATCTTTGCTGAAAGCAAAAGAAAACATGCTTAATAGGCTAAAATGACATTCTGCAATTTGAAAGCTACACTCCAGAGTATCACCTCAACTTCAATGGGGCTGATCATAACCACAGGTCTGAGTGAAAGAGAAAGGTGGGGTGACTGGGTTGTGCAGCATCCAGCCATCATACAACCACAACATGCCAAACAGGGCTTTTCTTTTGGGACCTACTGAACACATCAGCCTCTCTTTCCCTGAAGAAAATGCATCCAACCTGTTTTTTCAAGCTATCACGTCCTCCTGAGGTTCCTCAAGCCACAGCCCTCCAAAACCAAAAAAGTTCTGCGTAGGCTCCCCCCTAGAAAACTTGCCTGGGAAATAAACAGTGCTAGCAAAGAGAACAGCATAACACAAATTCTCCCTACTGACCACAGGCCACATCTGTAAGAAGTAAGGCTGCACAGCCATCTGGATTTTTAATCAACCAGACAGGAATCTTCTCTCAGACAAGACCTTCTTTCTTTATTGCTGGGTATTTTAATGATTTTACAAGATCTTTGTTTAAAGGGCAAGCGAAAAACACATTTTGTAGCTTTAAAGTATCAAAGCATGTTATGGTGGAGTTTTTCCTCAGTTTCTACTGTATCTAATCTTCTGACTACTCCTGCTTCCCAGGCAAATGACTCCAAGAAACAGCAGAAGCTGCTTAGATATGCCTCTACACACATAATTATCTCCAAATAAACATTAAAAATACTCCTGCAAAAGCAGGAGATGTTAAGTAGAAGCTCAAGTTAGTCCTTGAGAGTGCCTGACCCATGAAGCAGCACTGAATTATGAATGAACATGGAAAGCTTTGCATTTTAAGAACATAAGGCAACAGAAGGTTCCAATGTATGAACTGGAATAAGCAGATTTCTCAGCATCACCCAGAAGCACAACTTTGTAATGTGAAGAGCAAAACAACCCGGTAACATCTGAACTACTCCAAGTGTTCCTACAAAGCAATCACATTTGAATTCTTAAGAAACGGAAACAAAGCTGGACTCCATTTTTTCAGTGACAGAAAAACTAAAAAGGAAGTAGGTACCAAATGTACAGACAATAAAAGCTTCAATGCAGAATCTTTTTTTTTTTCCTACAAAAGAAAAAAGCTTTATCATAATGTAATCAAATAATTCCTTAAGCGTATTCCATATGCAGTTGCGGAAATGCTGTTTCCATGCAAGAACAATCACAGCTTGAGAAATAGTCAAGTCATTCCTCTAGTGCACCAATTAAATCCATATTCTGAAGTTTGTCAGGTTTTGATTTAGAGATATCTTAAGACATTTAAAGTAGCACACAGGTAAAAATAGAAGCCAGGGTTTTCAAGAAAAAAAGACAGCTCTCAGGTACTTAGAATTTTTCCAAATCAAATCAATCACAGTCTCACAGTCCAAATTAATCTGGCCAACTTTTCAGATTCCTGTGGTTTAGAAGTAGGGCACACAGACTCATGACATTCTGAAATACTCGGGCCCCATACAATGCAGCTTATATTGCTCTACCAGAAATGGTGAATGGAAAAGGGTGTTTTTCTCTGTTTGATGAGAAGTTTTCAGGAGAAGTTTCAAAGAAGTAAATGAGAACAAAGAAAATACCTGGTTGCGCCCAAGGCTGCTGTGAAAGGCTGTACCTGGGACCTCCTTGAGTAGCTGTTGTTTTTAAAGCAGCTACCTAAAACAAGTACAATCAACAAAATTAGTTTCTTACAGTTCAATCCACAACAAAGTGATCAAGTAAAAATTGCACAAGTCTCTACTGAAGTATTCCCTGTTCTCTCTCTTCTACGCCCTGACTTAACAATACACGGGAAGCAGCTTGACAGAAATGCAACCCAAAATTACAACCACAATCGCTTCTTGAAAGTGAAATGCAAGAAAGGATTAAATTTACTAAGATGCTTAGGCATCTAAGGATACAAAACCTCAAATGAGATTTATACTTAAGCAGGTCAGTCAAATGCCCCATATTCCCAACGAATCATTGAATCATTTGAACAATCTGTCAATCTCACCAGTTACCCATCTATTATTTTAGACATGCCATTGACCCTGCACCCCAGCATGACAAACATCAGTAACTTTAGTGCTGTAATCTTCTAAATTCTCAAAAACCAGCACTGAGATATTTGTGATGTCCATGCAATGCTGTAGCCCCAGTTTCTGAGATGTCATGCCACTTATTTGCAGTACATATGGATCCACATCACACTTTCCATTTTCCAGAATAGATCCTGCTGCATGGTTTTCTCAAGATGCCTAGAAATCCTGGGCTCTAGAGCAGGTTCTAGAAAGAAGTGTATTGTAATGAGGCATCTTTTTGTTCCTATCCCCTAGGGTGCCTAGTCTTTCTGACCAACTTTTATCAATAGCTTCTGCTGCAAACGGGACTTGGGGAGGAAAGTCCTGCTCAGCAAGCACCACACTGGTGTAAAATATATTGAGAATAGAACATTTAAATATACTTCACAGCCACACTCTTAAGGCCTCCCTCAAAAACCCACATCACCCAAGATTTTTGTTTTTCGAAGGCTTATAAATTCAGTCAAGGTAGGAGTTTTTCTGCAAACAGAAACGCTGCCGCCAACTGTTTCAACTCAATGAAACGTTAAAGCTTCTTTACCAAAGAGCATAAGGGATGCTTTCAAAAACAAACTATGTCATGTTCCTTTAATCCATTAATCTCAAAGGTGCCCAGAAAATTACTGTTGGAACTTAAAAGGAAACATGACCTTATAACAGGAAATGCCAGCATCTACAGCTAATCAAAACTAGCAGCTTCTCCTATACCCAATTTAATACCAATTCCCTTGTCCTACCAGTATTTCAGTTAGGTTAATGAACATACAACATGTTTGTACCTTTGTCATGAACTCCTCCAGCTGTTCTATAAACTGCTTGGTTTGCTGCTGAATAAACTGCTCACAAGCTGATTTCAGATGACGATCTACATCTTTCTTAGAGTCAATATAGTGTTCTCTGATTTCTGGGGTACCCTTGAACAGAAGACAACAATTCTCTCCTTTTTATTTGCCAAAGATCACCACCCGCTTAAATGACTCCGTTTTTCTTAATGCAGTAAGACTCCATATTACCTCCAGTAAGAACTGTATCAAGGCGTTGTTGCTGTTCAGCCTAAAAAATCTTGACACTGCCTTAGGGTTCAGGATTTTAAACGCTGCATCTGTGAATCAGAAAGTCACTCACACTGTAAGTCAGTGGGACTCACTTCCAGGAATTAAAAACTTTAATCACTCATTTATACATAAAAAATGGCCTAGCATGATTAGGACTATCACACTGATGACTGCACTATAGCTAGGTGTGGATGCACAAGTGCACACACACAGAAGCACACAAAGCTTGATCCACTAGTTTTTCATTGCCCCTAATGGTAAACCTCAATCTAACAGCTGCACAGTCAAACCAGATAAATACATTACACGAACCTAACAAATGACTGATACTAGCTATACTGTTATCAGCATGCAAACCGTGTGAGCTCTATTCCCTTTATATCTACTTTTACATAAGCTGTGTAGTTAAGCATTTATGAACGATATGCAGAATTTGGCCCAGGTTGCCTGGGACAACAAAATATGGTTGCATGAAGTAACTTAGAACTGACATGCTTTTCCTTTGTGCCTAGTTATTTTAGTTAGGACTAAACAAGAAAACACCAAGGTTGATATACACTCATGCTTTGTGGTCTCTACAGAAGTCCCAAGAAGGAAAAGTAACAATGTCTGCAATTAGCACAAGAATCTGACATTATTCCTATAGTGTTAACAGGATGTTGTCAACTCAAAATCTGATCAAATTGGAAACAAGTAAAATTATCAATTCAGTTGCAGTATGGATTATTGCTTAATGACACTCATTTATTATCCTACACATTCATCTACCTTTTTTTTTTATTCATTTCAAAAGCAATTTTGCACACTTCTTGCTATATAAAACAATTGTGAGGGAAATAAGATGAGTTAAAGAAATGCTGCCAAAGGTACTAAACAAAGAAGGAATACCAGACATGTAGGCATGTAGGTTTTGCACTGAACTAAGAATCTGCACTCCTATGCAGTTAAAGGAAATTGCAGATAAAGATTCATTTTGTTCTAAATTATTTCCCAGAAACTTCACTGATTCCACAAAGAGCTTAAATTCTGATTAGAAGCATATGAGCTAGTCAGTCTAAAAGTCACTTCTCTCCACTGTACACTTCACTTACATGAACCTTAGCATTACACTGGTTTTACATTAAGCAGTGTCCCTTTGTCTACAAATCCCAAGTTAAATCTATGTGCAGAAAGCTTGGCTAGGACACAGTAAAACTCCTATTAGTCATGTTACTTGATTTATACAATTCAACCGAAATATAAAAGCCCTACTAGCCTGTGCTACACTCCATTAAGAATTCTTTTCAACATCACCGCCATCCCCAAAATAAAGTGGTTTTCCATTACTTACCACTACCATCTGCAAAACACTGGCTGGCACAAAAATTTATTCAAATAAATGAAAATGGAGAACAAACTTGTGTGTCAGCCAGGGCAAGACACCAAAAGGACGTATTTACCCTTTAACCTCCAGTCAACTAGAAACTACTCAACAGGTAGGAGGTTTCATTGATGTTCAAATGCAACATGTGAAATGGTTAGTGCAAGAATTGTTTGCTTCAGAGTTAAAACAGCAGCATATTAGATGGCAGGAAAGAAAAGTTATTTCTTCAGCTTTCTCTTTTGGAATAGAAGAGAAACTTGGCATGCTTTCAGTTATTCTTCCCAATATCCTTACAAGCTTGACAAGTGCATGGCAGTTCACTTTTGTATTTGAGAGGGTTTTCCTGCATTTTACAAAGAAACCATAGCACAATTTAAAAATCATGGCCATGGGCACTACTTTACTTTCCCTTTGTACAACAGACATGGTTGCTACATAAAACTATCCAACAATACTGTTTATTGAACTTGCACCATAAGAAAACCTTTTCCAAAACAAAAACTCAGAGTAAGGTCTAAAGAATGATAATTAAAGATATTCCTTCGAAGTGTCAGAAAAGAGGAAAGACATCTTTGTGCAACAGTACATTACTTAGGTCTTCTTAAAAAAGACTGGATAAATAAGTTAGGTCAGCAGCAAAAAGCAAAACACATTTCATACACGAATAAAGAATTTGTTAGACATATCTTGAATAACCATCAACAGGGGAATGGTTCTATTTTTTTCAGAGAAGCTAAGAACAAAGCAAGAGATTAGAACAAGCGTACAGATCATTGCAAATGAACATAAAATAAACCCAGAACTTTTGCTGGCACATTCAGGGAGGACAATTCCATCCCATTTTGTAGCCAGCAGCTGTTTAGTACCTCTAGTTTTCTTAAGGTCCAGGGAAATTTCCTTAATGGTGAAATCAGTGTGGAAAGGAGCAATTTGTTCACGAAGAATCAAAAGATGTTTTATTAAGAAAAGCTGTCCGTCAACCTGGGTCTACAGCACAAGAGAAAAAACATTCATTACAAGAACAATTAAGTGAAGAGCATAATTTCAATGCCTTCACTTTTATCAGTTAATTCCTATAACAAAATTAATACTAATAATCTTACTAACAAGCTTTTTCCATTAGCCTGTAGTGCCATTACTACACTCTGGGATCAACAAATCCCACTTGTGTCTGTTCCCAACACATTGCTCTACAGAAGCAGACTTTATTTACATTTCTTAGAAGAATCAGATTACAGAGATTACACATTACTAAATGTCCACATTAAATACAGGTATCTATTATTTGAAAGCTACAAACTTATTCTTCATAAAAGCCAGGAATTATTTCAAGTAATTCATATAATTTATAGTCAAAAAACAGGAGGCTCTAAATTTTTTTTAATCATTATGATGATTAAAAAAAAAAAAAGCCAAACAGTTTCTATAATAACCTTGATTAACTGTGCTCTTGTGCAAAGGTCTTACAAGGCATTTTTCCCATGCCATTAAACACAAAGCTTAGTTAATTTCTAAACAGTACAGCAAAGATACAAAGAATAAAACAAGGCCAAGTTCACACCACTGAGACAACGAGTTTTGCACTGCTTGTTATTTCAGCTATGTGCTTTATACTGCATGCTGCTTTTAACCTTTGAAGTTCATGGCTCATTGAGGTAAATGAGAGGACTCAAAAATTCAAACTTGCTTTCGCAAGCTGGAAGAGAACTTCCTTTGATATAATGGTATATAAGACAGTAAAGAAGAAATTAGATTTAAATCTGCAGTTTGAACAACTAGAACTGTTTACTAAATGTAAGTGCTGGAAGGGTTTCTTAAGTTTGTGGGTTTTTTAGTCTTAAATGCATAATTTTACCAGACAATGCTAAATGAACATGCAGCAAGAACCAAGTGGTACAGATCTTAGTCCTGGTACAACCTATCTAGGGTTCACTGCAGGATGACTTTCATTCTCTGCAATACTTTAGGTCTGCTGAGCTGATATACAGTGCTGAAATAGATAATTACTGTAGAACTCTGAATCAATTACATATGAAATAGTTTTTTGCTCAAGCTAGAAGCAAACATGGTTTGAATTTCTTTTTAAAGATATGTTTAACACTTTTTAAAGGACACTCAAAAGAAACACTTCAAATCAGCTCTTCATTTCTAAAAGCAACTGAAACCTTTTTCATCATTAAGTATTTACACTAATACAAATCCACCAACTTTGGTTTATACTATGACTTCCTTTTTTTCCCATTAAATTCACTTCCTGGCTGTTAGGAATTTAGGAATGAGCAAATTACTACAGTATTTGTATTAAAGGAAATGTGACAAACAGAAAAAAGGTTTAGTCCAGCTATTAAGGCAACACTTAAAAGTTACAATGACTTGATGAAACTGCACTGAATTCTGAGCAACACACTGGACCAAATGTTTTAATAACAGACACTTCTGAGTGGACAACACTTAACAAATCTTCCCAGTGAATTTAATACTTCAAAAGACTTTTGAAAATTCAAACAACGGAGGCAGAGAGAAAGAGAAAAAGAGTAACAGGCAATGAAAACATACAGGGAGCAGAGACTTCTAGCAGATTTTTTTCTTTAGGTATCACTTGATCGATCACATGAGTTAGAGCAGCCTGTAAATACAATTGCTACAATTTGTATTCCACCATTTCAGACAGGCTAGCATGTGAATCATTATCTTTGCTTTACAATACATTAACCATAACTAAAAGCTGGCAAATCCATCAGGTCTCTGGGGGCAGAACAATATGGTTTCACTGAATCCTGAACAACTGCTTCATGGCTTTATATATACATGGACGGGGAAGAAAAAGAAATCATACCCAAAGCACAGGTTCTAACCTTGTTCTTGCTGATAGAATCAGCAGCTCCCAGCAGCGAGTGAATGCAGGCAGATAAGGCCTCTTGAGATAATCCCTGAAACACTGCCCTCTGCAGGGAAAAGGAAATGAGAAAAAAAAGATATTAGCAAAGCTTAAACATTATTTAAGAGCTGTAGTTTATGAAGGATGTGCTTACCAGCACATAAAAGTCTAGATTAGTTAGCTACAAACACATCTAACTGCAATAAGACAAGGATGGAGTATTCATATATAACAGGTTGCTACAGCATTTAGTTAACCTGGGTACAGGTACAGACAAGCATGCCCTGTTCACTCTGTCTCTGAATTTGCACATGAATAGTGCCATGGTCAGTGATACCTCATGCATTCACAGCTTACAGCATGAATGATGCTTCCCGGGTAACCTGACTAGACACTTCATGTGTCAGGGTAACTATCTGTGTGTGCAATTTACACATGCAATAGACATGAGATCACTCCACTGAGCTTAACCTCAAGCAAACTCAAATTACTTCACGCCTGCACCAGGTTAGTAAACAAACATGACAGCTGTCATGGCCCAAGTGACATGGAGTAACTCATTAAGCTGCAACTAGATCACATGGCTGAGCTAGCTGTAGGAACACAGCTCACCGCCACCAGCACTCCAGCGTAGTACCTAACAGCCCTGACTGCCCTGAGACTTGCCAGTGCCACTTCATTCATGTCTTCTATCTACAAGGTGCAGGTCAGGTGTAATAGCTCTACTAGAATATCTCAGAGAAAAACTAAACAAATCCCTGTGCAGATACACTACTAGAAATGAGCCTGGCAAACAATGCAAAAATGACCTCATTTCCAAAGGTCTAGTTGAAAACAAGGGCAAATACTCATTTATCTTTAATGAGATTGATATATTAAACAACAAAGTACTAATATTTCCCGGCTTTTTAAGCAAACAGCACCTTGGTAGCAGTTTTACATAACACATATCGAAGATATTTCGAAATGCATTAGATGTATCTAATAAAGACATAACATACAAAAGTAAAAACACTAGCATTATGTATCTCAGCGACTTAGACTTTTCTGCTTTTAGGTGACAGACATAAATCAAATTCTACAGGGCAAATCTCAAAATACTTCTGAAATAAACACTGCTTTTGTTTCTATTATAGAAGATTCCTACTGGCTTAAACTTTGGAAATGTCTCCCACATTTTGGAAAGCGGAAAGATGTGCCACAAAAATTTTTGAAAAGAATTCCAAGATGTGTGAGTAATAGAGCCACCATTTTTTTAGACCAGAAACGTCACTCTCTGATGTCCTGCAAAGCACATAGCAAGAAACATATTCACCCAGTAATTTCAGCAATAAAATCATTCTCTATAATTGACCCAGAACTTCCTATTTTTTCTTGTCCTAGTCACTTCGCAACTTTGGTGTGATAATTATCTTCAGCATCAGACAATGAAGTATTTCTGTAATAGCAAAAGCAATAGATGTAAAACCAGTGCCTTTTTTTCTAATTCTATAAATACAAAATTGTGTTGGTGACCTAAATTTGTCAGTTCACTTGTCTTACATAAAGATGGCAACAAAAAGACTCAGAGATAACAGAGGCCAGTAACTGCCCATTCCAAATTTACACTAAAATATTTAGACATGGTACTGCACACTTCACTTAATAAAAAAATAAAGAAATTTTTGCATACGTCTATACATCTGTACAGTTTGGAGAGACACACTAGAGTCCTTCTGACAGTAGGATACCACATTCCATGCAGATCTGCTGGCGAAATCGTGGTCTGGTGCCTGGGATTAAGGGTTTCTGATGAACCTGTTTAAAAGTAAAACACACACATGAAAAACTTGACCATCTCTCCTAACTGAAGTCAATTGCAATATCATAGAATCATAGAATGCTTTGGGTTGGAAGGGACCTTAAAGATCATGAGTTCTAACCCCCCTGCCACACATAGGAGCACCTTTCACTAGACCAGTTTGCTCAAAGCCCCACCCAACACAGCCTTGAACACTGCCAGGGATGGGGCAGTCACAGCTTCTCTTGGCCAGTGTCTCATCACCCTCACAGCGAAAAATTTTTTCCTATGTCTAATCTAAATCTCCCCTTTTTCAGTTTAAAGCCATGACCCTCTGCCCTGTCACTGCATGCCCTTGTAAAAACTCCCTCTCCAGATTTCTTCAAGGCCTCCTTTAGGCACTTGAAGCTGCTCCAAGGTCTCTCCTGAGCCTTCTCCAGGCTGAACATGTCCAACTCTCTCAGCCTGACTTCACAGGAGAGGCTTGGTATCAACTGCACTTTACCCTGACTCCACAGTAATATGACATACTTTACTGCATGCAAAGAGGTTAGGTTTGGCTTGGCGGTTTTTTCCTTCTTTGCAGTCAGTACTAGATTTCTCATGTGTGGAAAGCACATGGCTGTGAAAGACATGAATTTGCTTTCAGGCATGGCCCAGCTTGACCTTTTTTAATAAGCTAGTTTTACAGGCCTGTCTCCAAGGGAGCACTCTCCCCAGCTTAGTTCAACAGCTGAAATGATAAAAAAAATTACTGGAGGAAAAAAAAACATCACAGATAAAAAAATGGCTAGTGATCATGCAGGAGCTGCTCAGAAAAAAAAAGGATAAAAAAAAACCCCAATCAATTAATTTTTTAGTCCCAACTACCTCATGATACAAAAAAAACATGTAGATAGGCTGAAGAGGGTTCAGAGAAAAGCCACAAAGGTGATCAAAGGAGTGGGGAGCCTGCTGTATGAGGAAAGGCTGAGAGAACTGGATTTGTTCAGCCTAGAGAAAAGGAGGATCAGGAGACACCTTATCGCCATGTTTCACTGTTTACAGGGTGGCTACCAAGATGATGGAGACACCCTTTTTACAAGGAGTCATATGGAAAAGACAAGGGATAATGGGTACAACCTACTCCTGGGGAGATTTTGATTGGACACAAGAGGAAAACTTTTAACAGTGAGAACAATCAGCCACTGGAATAATCTCCCCAGGGAAGTGGTGGGCTCCCCAACACTGGACATTTAAGATCTGTCTGGACAGGCTGCTGACACAACCAGTCTAGGTCATCCTTGTCTAGAAAGGTTGTACCAGATGAACCTTAAGGTCCCTTTCAACTTGGTATTCTATGATCCTATGAATTTTACTTCTTGAAGCTTTCCTTTCTGCTGGAGATAATCCTGGATTAAACATGGATTAAACAGCTGCAGCAAGTATATGGTTTAAGCACCATGTTAGTAACAAAAAAAATAATGGCAAGATCAACTCTGTCATCAGGGAGTTGTAAACGTAAGAAAGTGATGCTCCAGGGTAACCTTCATAATAGTTCCATATGCCCAAAATGGATTTGCACAACACGTGATGGACAAAAGTCTTGCATTACTTTCACTTTGTCCCTAAATCCTGGGAAACATCTTTGCCAGTAGCATCAGAACTCTGGTTCTAATTAGCAACCACTCACACAGGTAAAATTTTAAGTTTTACCTAATGACAGAATATGCACTTGTGAGGTTTTTGTGTCACCAGTGCAGGAATGGGCTAAAATAATTTAGCAGTATCTTTCTACCTTTTTGCAACAACAGATTCATTGTCATATTAATTAGAAGTCCTGTAAGACCTTAGCTGTCAGTCTGAGGGTCCTAGGCTATTTATTAGTCACTTCAGCTTCTCCCGTGGGCACTTAAATGGGAGAGGCACCTTCAAAGGGTAAATAATCCCAATAATCTCAGACACTTAACTTCACATTACACCATACAGGTTCCTTCCACCTCCTGAATGCCAGTGGGATTTACAGGTCTTGTGAATGCCACACACTTGGCTTGAAGCAAGATGAGCTCCACCCTCAACATGATTTATGGAGTCTAGCTAGAAACAGCCAGAAAGACCTTTGCAGGCCTCGCAAGCCAAAAGCAAAACAATACTGAGTAATCAAAAGGAATATGAGAAACAACTGACAAAGAGCTGAAAAAAGTGGTGCTGGGAAAAATAACACTGGACCATCCTGAACAATTCAAAAGTAAAGGGATAAATACTTTATGGCTCTTAGACAAAAATTTAAAGGGCTGCAGCACTCAAATGACTGACATTTAAAGAGTCACATTTCTTGGAATTTGCGTCCAGTTCACTGTAATTTATAGGCACACAGGTCACATATTTAAAAAGACTATATTCTGAATTACTGTAAACCACTAAAATTACTGACTAGTTTCAGTAAGTGGAAATGCATTCAAAGGAAGAAGCTGCCTTCCCACGTAAAGGCACGCAACAAAGACACTCCTTGATGCTGAAAGCATTCATTTAGGAGACATGTCTGGCACACCAAACCACTCTTAGCACTTCTTAGTACAGCTAGCAAACAGAGGAATCCTTAAGCATACATCTTGATGGTAGGGCTACTTTGCAATAGAGAATACCACACTTCAGTTTTATATAAAGTACAATAGATGCTGTCAGCTATACTAGTAGTTGCTTCACAGAACAGATTGCACTGGAAGCACAAAGAAATGCCACACAAAGAACAAGATTAAGTTCTTCTCATTCGAAAAGAAAAAAGTTATTAAGAACCCTGAGACAAAGTTTACTTTCAAAATCTCTCACAAACCTCTCTAGGAAAATAACCCTTTAAGACACATGCAGATTTCTCACTGATGACTCAAGTTAATACCTGCTCTCCATGAGCTTCATGCATTAATTTGACAACATGAGATCTATTTCGTACCAGATTTAACTAAGTTGCAGGACTCAGGATCTTCTAGCCGGACATCTGAAAATGAAGCTTCAGATGGCAGCTTCTTCTGTTCCTCCTTTAAGCTCTGTGCAATTTGCTGCAGAGGAAGATACACCACAAAACTGTCATCTTTTTTTTCTCCTTAATTTAAGCAGCATTATGCTGCTTTGATTGCAATAGAGAAAAGCATACGGAATTGCAACAGGAGTCAGCTACACTCAGCTCCCCAGTGTTTCAAGGACATTAAAAGAAATAGACAATGTTTCCAAAACAGTAGCAGAAATGTTTCAGTATCAATTTAAGATTCACAAATATGACACAGATCTGATTAAAGCACCGTTCTTTCCATTTTGCCTGGTTTTACTGATCTCTAAATAATAACCTGTGAAGTCACCTAGAAAGAGAAACTTAAATAGGGGAACCCAATTCAACATTCACTTGAATTTCATACAGGTAATTCTTGTGATGCCTTTATTCTTATAAATGATACATGCAGATGGCCCCAAAGTACTCTCTAGTTTATTCCCTGCAGGATTTCAACAAAAAGTTTTCCCCTAACATTACTCAACATTTCCACACTTCAACATTTTTCACTACTCGGTCTGCTTCAAAGGAGTGAGAGACAGCAAGAATGGGCAAATACGTGCATTAATATTTGAGCAGAACAGCACAAGAAATATTTCTGTCCTGTGCTTTTAACATTTTAATAATTCATTTATTCTCTAAATAGCAAGGTTTTAAAGTTTAAAAGCAATCAAGTAGCAAAAATGAATGTCAAACCAGGCAAAAACTGGAGTTTTTTGAGGACATATGAAGAGCAACATAATTTCTCAATTTAGAATGAACTGTAAAACTCCCCTTCTTCTTCCTCGTAACTGAACAGCCAGAGGACCCTAGTTAGAAAATAAGGTCTTGTATAGACTAAGTAGCTGCACTGCTTGCCCACAGAAGTTATAACTAACATTAAAATGTTCTCACAATCACTTTTTTTATCCAGTTCTATTCACACCATTTTAGAAAACAAATAAACAAACAAATCTGCACTGCTAATAGCTAATACTGGTCAAACTTCAGCCTACTAGTTGTTCTCAACATATAGATCCCACTTGGCTACGTGTTGTGTGGTGGGCTTCTCAATTATTATTTTTGCTTTTTCTTTAAAAGCTATGAATGTCCCCACCAAAGCATAAACTGTAACATAATAAAAAGTTTAGAGATGTATTATGACAAGAGTATTGCAACATGTGCTCAGTACTAAGAAGTTTCTTTCAGTGTTTGTCTACAGGCAAGAATGGAACACAGCAAAATACACATATGTGTATACATATAGCTATGAAGCTTCTGTGTTTTATACAAGTAGTGATTCTGAAGTCAAATAACAGCTTCTCTACCAACTGGTCAGCTGCCATAAGGCGTACAATTTTCTAAGCACCATCAACTATTCTGACAGACAGATGAAAAGCAGAATAGAGCAATAAATCTGGATCTTCACAGTCCATGCTGGAATTGCCATTCTTGGTCATCTCAATCCTTTGACAGCTGGGGCTCCTCATTATAAAGTGAATGACAACTGTTACTTTGGGAAAGGTCTTTATTATGACTAAACCTTTCTTATGCAATAATACTTTTCAGTTGCATATCAAATGCAGTTTGCTCCAGTCAAAGACTAATTTAAAGTCTTTCATTGATCACTTTTTTATTTCTGTAATTTTATTTTGAAATCTGTCATCAATAAAGTACTAACCTTTTAAAGTAGAATTAGTAAAAAGAATCAGTTTGATTTCTTTCAACAGGAATATTGACTCAAAGGGCTTGGAATGACTACAAAAATAGCTAATACTGATAAGAACTTGAAAAAGGCTACTGGAAACCACTGCTGCCATATTAAATTATCAAAAGGTACAAGGAAGTCTCCCCTCATACTGTTTGAGCATAGCATACACACGTGTACCAAACATTAGTTGACCAATAACTTTGAAAACAAACTTGCAGCTAACTGTACCTGTCTAAAGCTTCAACTCCGTCAATAAGCTGTCTTCAACTCCAGCCCAACTAGATAATACACTGGGTAATACCTACTACTTCTGAAATTAAATGAAGATTTACTGTTACGAGAGGAAATGCAGAAGATTCAGAATTAGATAAAAATGTTAACTATGAGAACTATTGCCAATTTTACCGAGTTTGACAAAGTGTTTTCTGACATCTAGTTTAGGGTCGTAATTCAATCAGTAGGTGCAGGCTTGATAGCATCAGTAATACATAATACATCTGAGAACTAGAAAACCACAAACACATAGCACTATACTGCACAACTGTATATGCTGCATACAAAGAGTAAGTGAATCAAGGACAATAAAAAAAGCTGCTGCTATACCTCCATCATTTCCAACTTGTCAGGATATGCCAGATCACCCGGAGCAGGCTTGTAGCCTGTGATATCAGTCTGAATGTAAATGTGAGTCCTATAGACAAGGCGTTCTTGTACGTCTTCTAACATCTGCTTGACACCAGCTGCAAATGCACCCAGTTGTTCAGCTGACAAAGGTTAAAAAAAAAAAAAAAAGGCACAAATTTGTTAATTTGATTACAAAACAAGCTTATAGACACAGGAATTTGAAGCATCACATATAGAACAGTCACAAAACCACCTTGCTGCAGAGGAAGTCAGACTGTTTTTGCAATGGCATCATGCAGACAGATTTGTGACAAAACTATTAGAATTACTGAACTCCATACTTCAGTCACTTCAGCTTCCCAAATTTTCATTAGATTGTGAAAACGCGATCTCACATTGATGACATCAGATGCCATGTTAGAAATAAGCTTTATAGTTATTGCAGACCTGGGAATGTCAAGTGGCATTTCAGCCTGGACACCAAATCAATGTGCTTTGGTTCTATCATAGCCAAAGCCTGCACTATGACTGCTGAGAGCTGACAAGCCAACTCATCTACCTATCAGAACAGATGATCCAAAGCAGCTCACGTCCAACTTAAGAACTATCATATCAACCTAAGTTTAAGTAGTAGAAAGTCACTTCTTAAGATCAGACGAAAGATTATGTCACCAATTGTTATCACATTTCAAAGAGTGTTACAATTCTGCTTCCAGGAAAATGGGCAATTTTTCATGACACTGGCACAGCTTCAGAGAGAAAGAGTTATGCTGTGCTATATACCAGCAGCCAAGAATGATTTCCGTTTGTTGCTTGATGCAAGGTTAAGATTGTGAAATAATTCCAATCACACTAAGGGAATGAGATACCAGATTTTTTTCTCATGTTCAGCTCACTTCTACAAGACTGTGAACTCTGAACACTTCCAAAACTCCAAAATCTCTACCAGCTACATAACTCCTCTGTTGAAATTACAATTTCTAGTTTGGGAAACACTAAGTCAAGAAGAATGAAAAAATCAAGCTTGCATTCCTTTGTTTTATCGTCACGTAAAAGTAAGCCCCACATGGATGATGCATTAGCAGGGCCAAGCAAAGCAATTCATTCATATGAAGAGTTCATTTAAATCAACCCTGGTGCACATATACACACTGGAAGGTTGCTTGCTTGCATTTGTACAACCTAGAGAAAATAGGGCTCTATAACATCAGTAATACAGACCTTTCATTATAAATGAAAAAACATAATTTGTTTAAAATAACCTTACCGAATCTTTGACATGTTTAAGACGTGTTAAAAAAAAAAAAAAAAGTTTGGTTTTTTTTTCCCCCTATGGAATTTAAGAATTTTATCAGTTACAATGAAAGTTAAAAAAATCAGGTTCCATCTATCAGTTACCATTGTTCTGTACATGATCTTCAAGCATTTCATTCTTGAGAATCCCGCAGAGTTCAGAAAGCGTCTCTAAGTGAATGACATGGATGATCATTGGCCTCAGGACATCATAAAGTGAAAGACACAACTTCTCCAAGAGTTCACTATGAAGAAAAAAATAAAACAAAGCAAAACACTTTCAGGATCCTGCAATACCAAAATGAAATTTTATCACAAACATTAATTATTTTATAGCAAAGATTTTTAAAGAAGAGTGGGGAAAAATTGCAACACAGTATAACAGAAGACTTTAGAAAGGGCTGTTCAAAACATGAATCCCTGATATCCTACAAAGACTTTTAAGAGATGTAGGATACTAATTGCTTAAACTGGTGGCACAGTTTTTAATTCATTTTCAAATAAAACAACCAACCAACTAACCAAGACAAAACAAAAAACAACTCAACCTGTCAAAAAGGGAATATACTGCAAACTGGTTTACCTGGCTTCTGTGTAAAGATATGTCCTGCTGAGCTTTGAACCATACCCCAGATTTCCCCTTAAGAAAAGGTTCATCTGATTACAAGTATTCAATAGTTTATTAGAACTAGAAGCGGGACACAAGGGGAGAACCCTGGTAACCTTTTCTGTAACAACCTCCAACACTGCAGCACATGCTTTCCCATATAACTGAAGTTATGATACCAATGCAAAATGAAACACCAGGAATCCTACTTGGATTTATTTTTCTCTTTCCTGTATGAAGTGATGCATATTTTGGTTAACATTCATTCTAGACATTTTTGCCATTCTCAATGCTCCCTTTATTAATCACAGATTAGCTAATAATGCTGCTGCCAGTAGCTGAAAATTCAAGTAATTCACCATTTAGACTTGGAAATATAAACACTAAGAATATGCAAGTATTTACAGTGTGGTACAGTTGTCAAGTTCACTGCACTGTAATTTTTTTTCCTAATTCACAAAGAATGTCTGGCAACAGGACGACATTTCAATTCCTTTCAGACTGTGGACTAAAAATGCTCACAAGAGAATGTTCACAGAAGAAACATTCTGAAGGTCTCTCTTGTATTCTATAGGTATACAAACAACTTGATGAAACAGCAACTCTCCATGCTATAAGCAGAAACAAAGCAAGCTTCAACAGCCTTTTTATTAAAGTCTCAACCTCAGATCTCTACTCTCGGCTAGATTTTTGGTGAACTCCTTTATCTGCACATAGATACCCAGCTACTACAACTTCAGATCACCACAGCATTTCAGAAAAAAAAGGTTATTTATTATGTAGCTAAGAAAAATCTAATAAAGTAGAAACTATTTGAATCATTTTCCGCAAAATACTTAGATTTAGGGAAAAAAGAGAAGCAAGTTCTTACAAAGGAGGTAAAATTACCTTCCATCAAGACTCAAAAATTAATCAGAAGCTTATTCTCATTCTTGGTGTGAAGTGCAATAGGGATTAAATTTCTGTCTCAACAGCATTTTTCACTGTTAAAAATTAGGGATGTTTATTTCAGGATTTACACTGAGATAGCTAAATTGGTTCTTAAGACAATGTAGTTAAGTCACCTCAAATCCTGAGCATGTCCGACATAAGACCTCATTTCCTCAGAAAAGAGAAAGACTGCTACTACTCTGCCACTGTGGCTTATTTCTAGTATGTGTTTACAGCTTTCCTTTAGCTTTAGAGGACAGGGAAGGTAGTAGGCAGTATTTTTTTCTAGGTTATACTAATTCAAAGTCATGCTGCACTTAATTTTAAGATAATACAAACTCAAAACTAGTGTTTTAGTTACATTAATAGGAATATACTTTATTTATGATCATAAATATTTAGAAAGGGAACATGACCTGCATTAATTTCAAAACTAAATATAATTATAAAACATGACAACCAATTGGAGAAGGGGCATAACCTACGCAGTTGCTCTAGTATTACACGTCTGCTGCAAAAAAAGTTGTAATACTTTTAATAATGCCACCACCATGTGAAGACAACAACCTGTCCCTCTTATAGACCCAAGCAGACCATATACAGGTACTGCTCTTGTCAAGTGCCTGTACCCTGCCTTCTGTTCAACCCGCATACAGACACATGCAAATATTCCTTGACAATAAGGGCAGCTCACTAACTCTAAATCCTTGGTGAAAAATAGCTGGAATTCATCAGTTTATTTTTACACCAGAGTAAATGAAAAGCATTCCTGCTACTGACTATGCAAACCACTGGCATAGAGACAGTACAAAATCAGCTTAGAGCTGTAGCACTGTAAACTTTTACACCTATTTCCAAAGCAACTGTGTGTCTTTATCCCTGTCAGACCAGCAGCAGAGCATTTACATAGATTATTTATGGAGCAAGTAAACTACCAGCTTTGCTTGAATTAAAGAAAAAAAAACAACAAAAGAATATGAAATTCTCACACATAAGGGATTATTTTTTTCTTGCTAATTCTTAACAAACCATATCAATACAACCCTATTTGTCATATAACATTGTCTGCTATATCACAACACAGTAAACACAACATGCAGTAAAACAAAACCAGCATGTACCACCTACTCCAGTTTTGGTGTTGGTTTCGTGAAGAACTCATTGTAAAGCTGGTGCTCATCCTGGCATACATGGACCATAAAGGCACAACCGCTCCGTACCTGTACTCACAGAAATAAAATTAAATTGTTTTCCTGGCACCTAGCACAGGAGTTATTACAGATATTATTGTATATTTTATCATTATATTATATATTGCATTATCATTACTGCTACAGGTCTGGTTAAATGGAAGCTTTGTAGAATTAAAAATTGAGATCAACTATAAAGGATCGAAAAAAATGTCACTAACCAAATAAAAGTTCATTGTGCAATTTCTGTCCCTTTTTGGTTCTGATGAAATTTAATAACCACATTTTATGCTCCTCTGTGAGACTGGAAGCAGTTTTTACAGAATAATTGAAAATATTAGTAAAATTTTAATGATCCAAAAACACAAACAAAAGTGACAATTCTGCATGTAAGCAACTATTAAATAAGTACATTTTACTTAGGGGAGGAGGGGATTAAAACATAACAAAAACCCCACAACACACGACTACTTTACCTACCAGAGCACAGTGATCTCTGTTGTTCTGACTGGTTAATTCTGTAACAGTGCTAGCGATACTTGGACCAAGCAAAAGCTCCCTCTGGTCAAGGTAGCATTGATGGATTTCATTGAGAACTTGTTGATATCTAGAAAAGAAATCAAAACAGTAACTGCATCCCTAAGCTCATTTTCTATTAAACAGAAAATTCATACTAACACCCTATTTTAGGGTAATAAATTCAATTTTTAAAACTTCCTTTTGAAAAAAATAATGTGCTAAACAGTACTTAAAAGAATTAAAGATTTTTAAAACTTAGAATTGAAAATGAACTGTGTAGATATACTCACTCTGGCATTTTTTCAGATCTTTGCTCTACTTGTTCAATAAGTGTCTACTCAATAAACAAACAAAAAAGTATTATCAGTAAACAATTTTTCTACTAATTGGAAAACAGTTTTCAGTATTTTTCCTATGAACACAATATGCAATCTTTGGACATTCACACTTGCACAGTATGCAATCCTTGCATTCACACTACTAACCAATTCAACCCCCATTTTCATAGCGTCCTTTTCAACAATTAGTTATCACCCTACTTACTCTGACTTTGGGAGCAGCTGCTCTGAACTTTACATAAAACAGCGTGAAGGCATTGTCAGAATTTGGCACAGCTGAAGGATCCTGAAAGAAGAGATGAGTAATGGGTTAAAAAGGAAAATACTGTATTTGGCTTCTAATAGTTAACAGCTGAAATAATAGGCTCTGAAACAGGGTATTGATTCTTTATGCTTCTACTGACAGTAGAACAGCACTTTGCCATTTTTTACCTAGAAAAGCTTTCTTGTTTCAGAACTGTGATAAAGCCAGATGGAAGAATAAAAAACCCAAACAAAAGTTTCAACCAACAGTCTTTGCAGCATAAGTAAGGTTTTCAATAATTAGGCCATTCAAGGCCAGGCTGGACAGAGCCTCAGTCAACACAGTTTAGTGCGAGGTACCCCTGCGCATGGCAGGGGGTTGGAACCAGCTGATCTTAAGGATCCTTTCCAACCCTAACCATTCTATGATTCTTCATTAGAGACAACAGTTTTCTTTGGATCTGATACAGATTGTGGCTCCTTAATCTGCAGTACTAAAATGGAAAAAAACCTTCCCCTTTACATGCCAGTAAAAGTGAGTCCCAGTATGGAGAAGATAAGTTTCAGCTTGCATTCAAGCTTCAATTGGAATGTCAAGTTTTGAGAGGGTTCCCCCTGGGGCTCCCAAGCTTAACCAGGCAGACCCCTTGGACTTAAGACAAAGCACTAATAAAGCAGAGCAGAGACTCAGTTTAGCCACCAGGCTTTTTTCCTCTTATCCCCACTGATAACAGAATGAAAAGCAGATGTCCTTCCCTTGTCCTGCCTTCCCCACCTATTTTCAGCCCTTTGAGCAGTCTGATCATCTTTCTACAAATACAGATCAAATGCCCAAATACTTACATGTGAGAAACAACAACAAACATGAAGATCTCCTCAGTCCCTTTCCAGTCCTGACAAGACCTCTTGTTGTGTTGCAGTAGGAAATCTCAACGTTTGATCACAACTAAAGACCATTGGTCCACTACTGCATATCTAGATCTAATGTTTGCTTTCACGTCAGAAAGCAGACATTAGATATTTCAGAGAAATGCGCAAAACATCCACAAAATCCCCACGTAGATGGGAAAGAGGTCATCTGAATCCTAAGAGAGGTCTTCTTCCTGACTTAAAACTGCAAAGCAGCCATTCAAATCACTTCTTTCTGTAGACATGCTTATTATGTGAGATGTTCAATTCTGCTTGAATTCAGCTTCATCATCAATATCCACTGGCATCAAACTATACTATGTTGCTTTCTTTACTTTTGTACCAAACATGAAAAATGTTTCACGACATTTAACAAGTACTTCCAGGAGTATCCTTTGCAAGTTTCCAGTAAGATTGTCTAAAGTCTCCTTCCTTTATGTCTGTCAGTTCTCAATTCTAGCATCTTTATATTTCCCTGGTTATCCCTCACAAGCATGCCTGTAATAGGACTGAGCACGAGGCACAGAACAATTAACTGGAGAAAAAATAAGTGGGTAGAAAGAGACATTTTCCTCTCCTTTCTCTTCTGCCAAACTATTGCAGCATGAGACTACTGACATTTTAATGAAACCAAAAAACCTCCCTACGCACCTTTATGCCTAAATCACACTGGAGTGAGTGGCAGTAAAGCACCCAACTCTTCCCTGTGACTCTCTAACTTCTCTGTCAACACTTTAACCAAAAGATACCGACAAAACTGGTAGGGACCTGTCACAGCTATTCTCTGCAGCTACACAAACCTTTCAGAAATATTTAGATGACCAAGAACACCCAAAAATATTTACTGGAATATAATACTGACTCATGTCTTAAGCTAGACTTGTGCTTTAACAGTTTTCATCCTGTGACACCCATACTTTAAGTACTCCCTGCAACCTCTCTGTCTCTAACTACTCAACTCCAAAACAGACCCCACAGTACCTGTCTTTCTCTTGTGCAGCCTCCCCATCTAGCAACAGAGATAGCAGCATGCAGTAGAGCTGATTCAGTGCACAGACTGGTTCAGGAAAGCATGTTCTCTGGCCTGCTGGTTGATGCCCCCCTAACAGTCATTTATCCACCTCTGGCCTTCACCGTCTACCTACCTCATCACTCACTTTCCCATCTTCAATTTCCAGGACTTTTTAGTTACTACTATTTTAAAATCTTTTGGATCCCCAGTTCTCTGACAGATTCGGTTGGAACCTGGCAAATCTACATGAGCACTGGAAAAGGACTGACCTGTTTTCAAACAAAACTGCTGGCACCACCCAGCCTCCAGGAAATAAAAAGAGAAGAAAACTGTACAGTGTCACAACAGACATTTCAGGATAGCTTGAGTTACCACTTACTGATTCACCTTACCCTTTTCATTAACTGGCTTGTGAGGTTCTGCAATGTATTCACAGTGTAAGTCTTGATAAGGTGCATAGCTTTAGAAAGGCATTGTTTAAATTTTATCAAATATACAGGATAATCTTTAAAATTCGGCTGAAAGAAATAAAAAATCCACTTTAATTATGAACAATAAAAGTAAAATATTATCAATACTTAAAATACTTTTTACTATCTAGAAATGTAGTAGTCTATAAAAATTAGCAGAATATTAATATATTCAGTAAATATTTAAGTTTATAAACCATCATCATTGCTTTCTTACTGTATTTAGCAGACAGGACATTTTGAGGGGTGGGGGGAGGAACACCACAAAAATAGTATGAATACATCGTTTTGAAGCTATTAAAATCTAACCAAAATCAATACAGCATTACTTACATGCGATGAAATATATGCAATACAATCATCAAGCTTAGCCAGCATGGGAATGAATCCTTCACTGTTCACGGACAGCGTAGGGGAATTCAATTTCTTTGGAAAACAAGACAAAGCATCATTGTAAGGAACCCAAGTAACCTAGTGCTGGCGATAAACTTCAAAAGATGGGTACACCTTCATTTTCTAAGACTATTAACAGTGAAATAATACTTACTGTGTTGATGTTTTCCAGCTCATTAAAATAAGAAAGTTTCTGCTGGATGTTTTCAGCCAGGTCAACTAGTTCTGACTATTAAAAAGCAATAAATAAAAGAAAATCAGCAACCTAGCAAGTAGTTTAAATATCTATTTTATACGTATAAATATACATATTACTCAGCCTCCCTTTCAGCTCTCAGTACACACCACTGTTAACTAGCTCTAGGTAACCTGAAACTAAATAAGTGCAATAAAAGATGCAGAATACAGTAGTGTTCTTTTGCTCTCTCTTACCAGAGAAAGACACATTACTCTCAATAGTGTATTTAAAAGCACACATTTTTTTACATGTTGGTCAGCATTCCACAGATAACACTGCATAAAAACAGCAGTGCTGTCATCAGTGTTACAGAGAACTGTAGAAATCCTGTATTTCAGGATTGGAGTCTTAAGAAGTTCTCCCTTATCCAGTCATGCTAAAAAGACATGTTTAATATACTGTTGGAGCAGCTTATGAGGAAAAAGAAAGTGTCTGGGACAGAAGTTTGTAATTTAGATCTTTCTTCTTGCAATAATCATCTCAAAATACTTCCGTATTTTATATGAATTATTAATCTCAAAGTCTGCACTTGTCAGGCATCAGTTACAAAAGCTCCTCTAACTGGCTATCCTTCTTGATTACAGCGTGTATCAACACATAGTCAACATTTTACTGCACAGAGCCTGACAGCCTAGCTGCAGATGAAAAACACCAAAAATGAGGTCCAAAGCAAACAGAGGGATTGTCATCACAGCTCACAATTTTTCCCAGCCTGAGAATAAGCAAATTTAATTTATGGTATCTTATAAGTTTCCAGTAATCCACCCATCAAAGATTACCTGCTCTTTCAAAAGCTGCTCACAGGCCTCATGCAGCGTTCCTGTCTTCGTGGACACAAAAAGATACTGTTTTTGCAGTGACTCCAAGTGTTGAAGGGCACTATTCACATCATTCAAGATAGCATCACACTGCTCCTGAAAGCCAGACAAGTAATCCCTCATCTGTCTGGAAAAAAGAGAATCAACAGATAACAAGAGTAAAATTTCACTTTCTCTATTTGCAAATTCAGCTGCCTATAGGGAACTGCAACTACCTTTCCCTCTCTAGAAATAAAAGACCACGTGCATAAGGCAAGAGTGCACAATAAGCAGATGCTTCATGACCTGCAGAAATAACAGAGCTATAGGGTCTGGAACAGCCAGCACAGTAACTTCATTTCCCTGACATTCCTTACATCAAGCCTACCCAGAAAGCAGCAGCATGTACCACAGCTAGTCTAGAGCACGTGAAGCCTGTCTAAATGGACAGCACAAACATAGCAGCTACTGTTGACTACTGTCATCAGCCAAATTCTGCATGCCTTGCTTCTGACTGTGGTGTTAATTTGGGTCTCCTCTTCTCTACAATTTTCAGTTTCCATTTAGAAAACACTTTTGTTTTCCTAAAGTAGCTGAAATTATCCAGAGGATTTAAAACTTACTATGAGGATTGAAAGAGGTTTAAATGAAACAGATCCAGTATCTAATGTCACCCAGTTTGTCTAAGGCTCAATGCAGATATAAACTCTAAATGATCGCTAAATACATGCCAACCATTCAGCCTGACCAAAACATCATTTAACTTAATTGCTCTTGGATGTCAGATAAAACTTATGAGTTCTACTTTACCACATATAAAGCACCAAGTAAAAATTACAGCTCTCTGTAGTCATGCACAACTCTTTAGCGTACAACAGGAAAAGAAGTTACTAATTTTCCTCCTCCTCCTCTGGCCTCCTGCAAACAACGTATTGGCCTTCCTACAAACCATTTTGTGTCCATGGCACACTTAACTACCTTTGTGTGCTATTACAAACATGTCAACTGACAAAACGCAAGGCTGCTACACTTTTTAGGTTGTCAATGATATGATCATTGGCTTAGTTTATGCCTAAACCTCTGCTTTTAAGAAACATCATGTCCTTAAACATCAGATAATAAGAGACAGACCAAAGAAAAGCAGATTAAAACAGAAGAGCAGAATACAGCAGCATCTCTTCATGGCCAAGGGCAAATCTGTAAAGTCCCAAAGCACAAGCCAGTTTCCATAAAAGCCATCAGCAGCTTTGTTTAAGCCATTCAGCTGTACTTCATACTCCTGAGGAGTAACTGCGTAAGTCAGTGGGAAAGGGTTCCTCTGAGCCTGACAGAAAAGTCAGTTTGACAAAAACAGCTGGGAATGCCAAGTCTCAAAATCGGAGTTGAGCAAAGTGTCAAGGAATGAAGGGAATGCACATATAGAATCACAGCCATAGTCACTGGGGAACCAAACAGCGAGAGCAGAAATGACTACCAACCACACCTGCTTACAGTCTCACTCTCAGAGGATGCCATTTTAATAGCAGCAGCAGTAGTTGAAAAGGCATATGAAAGCTCCTAGATTGCTTTTGTCTACAGTCCTGTCTATAAGCCAAACTAATATAAATCTGTTTTATTATACTGGGCAGTTCAGAAGGAAATCTGCCCTTTTGACTTCTCTGCCACAAGGGCAACAGCCTTCAGGTTGGGAGTGGGGCATATTGCCTTGGAAAGCTCCTGCTGTTCCAGCACATTCCCCCATTCCCTGCCAGCTGAACTCAAATGTGTGCTAACATTATATGGACGAGATTAAACCCTTCAAGGTTTTAACTGCTTACAGTGAAAGGAACTGAGGAAGAACACGTACCTGTACTTGGCACCTTCGTCTTGATCCATCTGTGTTTGTACCTGAGCAAACCAGGAGAAGAACTAGAAGAGATTTTATGGTGTGAAAAATACAGACATCACATGAAGTCAAGTAAAAATAAAATCATATCTACGAAATTAAGATGAGCTCTTGTTAAAAATAAGAGCTGTTTCAGAACTTAATAATTAATCAAGGAAACAAACTATAACTCTTTGTTTTAGTTACTTCCAACTGAAGTACTTCCAACTGAAACATATTCTATTCCCTCACTAAATCAAAATGGAAAACTAAAAAAAAATGGAAAAAAAAAATGGAAATTTAATCTCTTTTTATCTGCACAAGAACAAGGCTGTCACGTTGAAACAGGAAGGAGGGGGCACAAAGATTCTTTCATATTATGAGCAACACCACCTTACTGAAGGGGTGTCTTACTCTCACGAAAGACTCCACTCAAAATGCGAAAAGTATCTATCGCTTAAGAGCTAAGACTTAAGGATTTTTCCTCCAAGTTTCTTCATGCAACTTGAAAACATCCCCAAATACTTAACAAACCCACCAAGAGTTAGACAAGAGACATAGAAACTCACAAATTCTCTAAAGAAGATTACTGCACCTTGGAGGTTCTTCAGCATCACTTACCTGCTGTGCTGTTTCAATTCTTTCATCCTCCATCCCCAGTACTGCAAATCCTTTCAAAAGGACATCCTCTGTGGATTCTGGCACTGCAGCCGTCAGTGTAACAGCTAGCGACTGAGACGTCAGGCTGCACAAATCTTCAATTGGAAGCTGCTCACAAAAACCCACAAACTTTGTTAGAGAACTTAACTAAAAATTAGTATATTCAGCTCAACTACAATAACACAGCCCAAAGCATCAACTTGAGAAAGTTACAGGCATCTACTTTTGAAGAAACAAATGCAATGAACATTTTATCTACCAATATGATAATACACTGACAACAACCATATTCAGAAGCACCTAACAATTGGTTTGGTTTTTTTTTGTTAAAGTTAGAAAATATTATACAGAATTTCATATAATTACACACTTGTGTAAAAAAAAAGAAACCAAATGTACATGAGGGTGGTGAGACACTGGAATGGGTTGCCCAAGGAAGTTGTGAATGCTCCATCCCTGGTAGTTTTCCACACTGGGCTGGACAGAGCCTTGGGTGACATGGCTTAGTGTGAGGTGTTCCTGTCCATGGCAGGGCGGGTAGAACTTGATGACCTTAAGGTCCTTTCCAACCCTAATTATTCTATGAGTCTATGTTGGCAACATACTGATGAGCTACTATGTCAGGTTCTATACTCACGGAAACGCACTAGAAAAGTATCTGAGAACAGAAGAATTCAGAAAGCATGCAGAAGCAAAAAATAAATGCCATGTATGTTCTATACTGCATGGCAACATCACTGCACAGGAATTGTCAAGAAGTTTTTACCAGATATTCAGGGATAACCCAAGACTTAATACTGCCACAATCTGCAGTGTCTCATATTCTTTCAAATGCAAGGTCCTGCACCTGGGTTGGAACAATCCCAGGCACAAATACAGGCTGAGGGAGACTGGATTGAGAGCTGCCCTGAGAAGGACTTGATTGATGAGAAGGTCCATATGACCCAGCAACATGCACTGGCAGCCCAGAAAGCCAACTGTATGAGGGCTGCATCACCAACAGCATGACCAGCAGGTCAAGGGGGGCTGGAACTTGATGATCTTAAGGTCCTTTCCAACCCTAACTATTCTATGATTCTATGATTCTCCCTCTTTACTTTGCTCTCGTGAGACTCCACCTGCAGTTCTGTATTCAGCTCTGGGGACCCCAACACAAGAGAGACAAGGACCTGTTGGCGCAAGTCCAGAGGAGGCCATGCAGATGCTCAGAGGGTTGGAGCACCTCTCCTATGGAGACAAGCTGAGAGAGTGGGCTTTTCAGCCTGGAGAAGGATCTGCAGTGACCTTTCAGCACCCTCCTAGTACCTAAAGGGGGCTTGCAAGAAACCTGGAGAATGACATTTTATGGAGGCATGTAGGGATAAGACAAGACAGAATGGCTTTAAACTGAAAGAGGGTAGAGTTCATTAGACATCAGGCCCCCAAAACAGGCAGGATGCCTAGATGGGAGCCAGGGTTTCTCTTGTGACTACTACTGAGGAAACAGTCACAAGAAAAACCCTTTTCCCTGAGGAAAAGACAAGTTTATCAGAGCCTGCTTTTTCAGAACAGCTAAGTCACCACTGTCCCAATCCACTTCAGCAGAGGCCAAGACCAGCTGAACTACTCAATGTCTTGGCATCCTCGTTGTCCTGTACAGCAAATACAGTACCTGCCTTATTGCAAAGCTTGTCTGGATACTTAAAAACCTGCTCTGATTGCAGCATAAGCTTCTATAATCATTTTGGATACCTGCCAATATTTACTTGATTACAGATACATACGACTTACACAAAAAACCAGACCAGGAAGCATGAAATGAAACAGGTGCATTTCAGGGAGGATCTTTCACCCCCTTCCCTTTGTTATTTTGACCTTTCAGACACTTGACAAGAGCCAGCTTTGTTGATTTTATGGCACTGTATCTAGTCCACTGTATATAGGAACACTGTTCCTGTTCAAATACAAAACCTCCCATGAAAAACATAGTGAAGGAATGCAAACATTTTGCTCCACTTCCCTTTACAGACAAAGGAGTACTCATCAATAATCATCTCGGCAGTCTAATGTTTTACAACTGAAGAGAAGACCACATCTTCTATGGTAATAACAAATTATTAAGCTTTTTGCCACTATTCCTGTCTTTTATATCTTGCTCAATCATCTGTTAACTGGTACCTGAAAATAACACTAGTGCCAGCAGCTATGTATTGATCAGGCTCAAATTAAGAGGGCCAAAACTATTATTAGGAAGAGTTCTCCACTATGAGGGTGTTGAGGCACTGGCACAGGTTGCCCAGAGAAGCTGTGGCTGCCCCCTCCATGGCAGTGTTCAAGGCCAGGCTGGACGGCGCGTTAAGCAACCTCGTCTAGTGGAAGGTGCCTCTGCCCATGGCAAGACGTTGGAACTAAACGAGACTTAAGGTTCCTTTCAACACAAACCGTTCCGTGATTCTATGAAAACCACAGAAGACCACGATGGTAGCTCTATTTCAGCAGAAAGAATTCCGATGAACCGAGGGAAGTTACAAGGTTAGGCAAGGAAATCCCTGTGGATTTTAGGCTGGAAGCTTCCATCGCTGCCTACCAGCCCCTGCCAGCCAGGACGGGCGGCTGCACCGCAGCAGGAGGCCCCGGTGGGAAGGACGAGTCCTCCCGGGGGCCGTGGAAGCGCAGTGAGGGGAGCGCTGGGTGCCCTGCCGCCTGACACCGGGCAGGAACGCAAATCGAGGCTGAGCCCCGTGGTCACCGGCGGGCAGCGGCAGCCTCGCAGGAACCCCCGGCCGCCTGGCGACGTGGCACTGCGGCGCCTCCCGCCCGCCCGCTCGCCGCGCGCTCCAGCCGGGCAGCGTCGCCGCCTCACCTCGGGCGGCACCGGCAAGTTCTCTGCCGCCGCCTTCAGCTCCAGCACCGAGTCGGTCTGTCGGTCGCTGAGCGGCGCGGCGGGCTGTGGGCGGCGGTCCCACAGGCTCAAGCGGTCCCGCACGTCCCTGCCCGCCGGCTCCGCGGACGGCGGCTCCGCCATGCTGGCGGAGAACGGGTAAGAGGCGGCCGGGCCGGGAGCGGGGCGAGGCGGAACAGCGCGGCAGTACTTCCGGGGAGGCACAGCGCACCGCCTCCCCGTCGCGTGACAGCAGCGTCTTTGGTGGGGAGAAGTGCGTCAGCGAGCAGCAGCTGGCCGGGACGGCGCCCCCTGCCGGTAGGGAGGAGCGAAGTGGCTGCCGCATCCCCGGGCTTGGCCACGGCACGGCAGCAGCCACCCTCCCGCTGGCCGGGGCTGAGGGACACGGGCGGCTGGTCGCCCATCCCATACCCAGGGGCTTCCCTTCCCGAGGCCGCAGGACAGCCCTGGCTATGGCACCTTGCTCTAGGCAACCCGTGCTCCTCCTGGGCATCCAGGCACCCCAAAGAAAATCACCTCTGAGTGAAAGTGCTTAAGGCACTGCCTGCCGAAATCACCTTCAGCTGAGATCCTGAACCACTAGTTAAGGATAGGAGAATGGAAATGTGAGAAGGAAATGGAACTGTTGAAACAAGTCCAGAGGAGGACCACGAAGATGATCAGGGGGCTGGAGCACCTCCCGTATGAAGACAGGCTGAGAAAGTTGGGCCTGTTCAGCCTGGAGAAGGCTGCATGGAGACCTCATAGCAGCCTTCCAGTACCTGAAGGGGACCTAGAAGGGTGCTAGAAACTCTTCATCAGGTACTGTAAAGACAGTAAGAGAGGTCATGCATTCAAATTCTGTGAGGGTGGAGAAACACTGGCACAAGTTGCCCAGAGAAGCTGTGGCTACCCCATCCCCAGCAGTGTTCAAGGCTAGGCTGGACACAGCTTGGAGGAACCTGGTCAAGTGGAAGGTGTTTGTGCCTGTGGCAAGGGGGTGGAACTAGATGATCTTGAGCTCCTTTCCAGCCCAAGCCATCCTATGACTTTATAACTTTGTTTCACCATTCTCACACCTTAAGTTATTAGTCCATCTTCCCTCCAGCATAAGGGGTATAGACTATTCCACTCCCACTGTGTCAGTGCAGTTCAGAGTCATTACACAATGATTTGAAAACTTGTAATAAGGTTACAAAACCCATACATTTGCTTACATAGTACACAAAAATTTCTACAAGTATTTGTATTAAAACACGGAAAAGCTGTGCAGAAAACCACTGCACAGAGCATAACAACAGACATAGAAAAACAGTGTACTTCAGGAAAGAAAGTGCTTTCTGCATTTAGAAATCCATTTGTGGATCTTATGAGAATATAGTAATTTTGAAGTCATAACAGTTTAAGTGGAATGTGCAATTAACCAAAACTGTTTAAGAGATATACACAATGCTACACAAATACAAAGCTATACATCCCACTTTGCTATCCTCTGTAAATACAGAGGAACCATCCCATGACTGACATATTGCATATTTCCTTGCCTGGAATTCACCAGCAGCATTTAAAAACCTTAATGTATTGTTTAGTTAATGGTCCTGAAGCTTAAGATACACATTTCAGGCAAAAGGTAATGCTTGAAGGAAACTGTGGTTTCTGCATGAAGTGTTTACTTGCATATATGGAAGTACTCAGTAGTTCTGGGTGTGGGTGTCATCTTAAAGAAGGAAAACTGTCTTTATTGTGGATTTACCTTTGGAGGGGCCTGGTTCTTTTCCCATGGCACCTATATAACACAGCCTGAACGGCTTAGTGTAAAACTTGTATCTCATATGATACATAATATCCAGCATCTATTACAAGTAGCTCTTCCCCAACAACAAGGAAGGCATAGAAAGTTTCTCTGCAAGACATGCAGATGAGCATGGACTTGCTTGAACTTCAGTCCTACTTGTGAATTTACATGTGCATATGTTGAAGAATCACACTGAAAAAAAATATCAAGAACAATATATGGGAGAACACTTGCAGCTATACAAAACTGACAGCTGTGGCAACAGTGCTTTCAAAGGAAACTGGATTATTTCCAGCAACTTATGCCAACATCTAAGGTCTTAGAACACAGGAAAGCTCTAAAACCAGAAGCAGATTTTTGTCTTGCAGCAGGTATTTTACTGAACTGAAAGCCTGAAGAGACATCTTGTGATGCTTCCAGTTACTTTGAAACTATAAACTACCACAGTCAAATTGTATACCCTTATGGAAAGAGAAACCCAGCCCTGTGGTACTACCTATCTTTCACTGCCTCTTAAAAACATTGTGTATCTAAGTCTCAACAGCATAAAGCTGTATTACAGACCTTCACATTCAAGTAAACTTACACAGCCAACAGAAGGAATGCCACCATATTTGATTCTGTCTAGAAAACAGTGCACATCACCCACAGAGTCACATAAGCAAGCTGCTGTTACAGGAGCCAATCAGCCTTGAAAACACTTCCAGGTTCTTCTGATTCAGAACAGTCTTGCAGTGACCTCTTCCTCTGGCCAGCATCTCGGACAACAAGGAGTAAATACTCAAGACAACTTACAAGTTGCTCTAAACTCAAATAGTACATTCACAGAATTCAGGATACAGTTCAGCACGTCAGTCTAATTTTTTCAGCTGTTCGTATGTTAGAAAGAACTGGGACAGCTGATTAAGGAAAAATTTCATATTCATATGTGGAAAATGTGTCACCTCACCACTGCAGTACAGCTGCATCTGCGTGAAGCTTTGCTCCACTTTGTTGCCTCCTATGCAGTCCTGCTGGTAGGCCATTTTTGTTACACAGTACTAGACAGAAAAATGAAATTTGCTTTAAGGCTGATGATGCCAATCACTTTTCCATACCTATTCCTCAGGATCTTAAACACAGGACTGAGGAGGCAGGAGAACACTGTGAAAGTTTTGAAAGAGTCTTTGCTCACTTAGCTTTGATGGGCTAAAGTAGGTTTGCTCACGGTAAAAACTACTACTACCAACTCACTTCCCAAGGCTCTTGAAACAAACAAAATTGTGTGAGAAAGATAAACAAAAAAGATTTCATGGCTAAGCACCATTTCCAGCAGTTCTGGAAGCAGCCACCATCCCTAACTTTTCTGGGCAATTTTATTTAAAGCTAGGCTCCAAACCACAGAAATGAACAAGTATGAAGTTGGAGGAACAGAAAAATGTTTTGCAAGATAACGTTCCAATATTTACTCTATGTGAATCACAGATTCACTCTGACCAGCAGCAGCTGATGAAGAAAACTGTCAACTACCCAATTTTCTATTCATACAAAAGGAATATTTGTGCTGACATGACACTTTGCACACTGAGCAGTCTGTGAAACTGCCAATACCTGCTGTTTTATTGCTAGCTTCATAGTTTTGCACACCTTTGAAAAGGATACAATGATATTCCAAGGACCAAGTCTTAACCAGTTTGGCCAAAACCCCTTATATAGAGCAAAAAAGCCTTCATTCTTCCATGTCTGGGGAAAGAAAAACAAAACAAAAAAACACCACACAGTAAGAACAAGTAATTCTTATTAGCAAGAAACCTAAGCAGCATCTCTTAAACGTATTGTGAGGAGACAAAAACATTTCACTATGTAAAGCCAAAATTAGAGAAGCCCACATCACCATGGCAGGTTAAGATGCAGGTCATTAAGTACCCAACCTAGATTTGTCCAAATTACTTTCCTGGACTTTTTTTACCCCTGTAAAATCCCTTGCAAATGGTGTGTGTGTATATATATATATATATATATATATATATATATATATGTGTGTGTGTATACACACACACACACACAATGTATATATAGACCTGCAGCTCACATCTGGTACCCACTTGAGATTTACCATTTTGCTTTATGGACTTCACAAAATTGCACTGAACAGTGCAACTTGTTCTGCAATAGAAACGGAGAAGAGTGGCAGGACAGTGCCATGTAAAAGGCCATCGTTCTCCCACCTCATACCCAATTTAGGAATTTAAACAACCCAAGCCAAAATAATCAAAATCAGACACTGATACTGGCTTTGGCTGTACTAGCCTCTCCCATATGCAGTAAGCAGAAAAAACAACCGACCCCCAGAAGATGTTCCTCAAGGAGTGACCTATGATGTCACTTCCTATCATTATATTAAACGTTACATCTTACAAAGTAAAGTAAGAGACAGTGGCCTATCCAAGCACCAAAGGAATTGGGTGCCTGCAGTATATACTACCATTCTGTCAAGACAGTAGATATTTTTCACACCAGTGTGTTACTGGCAGTGTGGTCCTTTTGAGCATTATGGCAAAAAGCATACCTAAGTTACTTGGAAGCTTAGAACAATTTTGAGCTCTATACCAAAAATCATTACTCATGGCACCAGTTCCTACTAAAGTCGATAAATCAACTACTTACTTGTAACAGGCAATCCAAAGTGCCCTTGTAGTTTGAGTGCCCCCCATATTGTTGACTTCTCTGATTCATCATGCGTGTTCTTACAACATCAATTGGGTTGGATGCAAGGGCTCCAGCTAACCCACAAGTAAAACTTGAGCTAGCAAAAGAAGGGTTTAATGAAATTTTATCTAGTACATTTAGAGATGCACAAGAAATACTGCATGTTTTCTGGGGAGGGAGAAATAATGAGCACTTAATGATTTATTTAAAAATAACATCTGCTAATAAATTTGAAAAAATTACTTTTACTATAAAGCATAATTTTGAAGATTTGATACACAGCCCTTATATACAATCTCTGGACACTTGGACAGAAGTTTGTGCCTCAAAAGCAAATATTTGATTGGAACTTTCCTCTAACTTCAATTTGCACAGCTGAATGATTTGGACCACCCACCAAAAAAAAATAAAATCCATATTCAAAAGGAAGTTAAATCCAAATTCTAAATTAAATACCATGCTATATGCTACTATTTCAGATGCTACTGCATTAAAAAGTATAAACACACCAGAAGTATATTTAAATATCTATTTTAAACTTACATATTTAAATATGTATAAATATCTAGATAACAAATCAAAATACTGAACCCCCATAATGAGACCTAACCAACAATGAGTTATGCAAACAGTTTTGCAGACTTACAGGAAGTGCGTATATACAGTATCTCCCATAAATCCAGACATAATTATGTGCT